TTTGGGGGTGCGGTCAGCTGCGTGTTTGGTTGTTGATTGGACCTCAGTGTCCAACGACTCGGGGTTAACACGAGATGTCAGATTGAAGTTCTCACCGGTCTCGCGGATAGAACGTCGGTTCCTCCTGAGTACAGTCCCCGAGTTCATCTGAACTTGGTATGATCGAGGTGCATCCAGCGTGGTGGAAACAATTGCTGGTTGCCATTTGCTGGTTACTTCATCGCGTACCCTTACCGGCTGGCCAGGAACCAGGGGAGATAACTCTTTGCCTGAACTCTGGTCGTGGTACGCTTTCTGAGTAACCTGACGTAGGTACAGTCTATCTACTATGTCATCTCGATCAGGGGCTGTGTTAGTGATCTTCACAGGTAGATTGCTCCTGAACTTGCGTGCGTTGAGCAGCTCAGCTGGAGATGAGAGGTGACAGTCGACAGGCGTAGATCTGAGAATCAGTAGCGCCATGTCTGGGTCGGTGTGAGCAGACTTAGACTTGGCTAGCTGCCATCTACGACACAATTAATCATAGAGATGTTACCTAGTTATAGAAAATTAATTGGCTGTTGAATAAAAGGCAACGCAATCTGCTTGGGTGTGGGCATGCCAGACGCAGTGCACGCGTATCCTGCAGCGATTCTACAAAGCAGGAATGACTGTGGAAACCCTAACCCATCCAGATAAAGCTGCCCAACTCTCTACTACTGAAAATGAGACGTGCTGCTGTACCATTTCTGTGGTTGAGGGTCCTTCAACTCGACGAATCGTTGAGCAGAAGGTGTCATTTGTCGCCATCTGGATGATGTCTTCGATTAGCGTGGCAATGCAGGAAAAGTCATTCGGCACCTTCAAATGTGTGACTGACCAATGATTTGCCTTCTTTGCAAAAACTTTTGCTTATTTACAAAAACATTAGGTTTCACAACTTAAATAGCATATTTAAAACCACTACACATGTGAAATTCCACAGCAAACAGACTAAAATATGCACCAATGTATGCAGTTATATATTCATTTGAAGTAAAGACTTATTGATGAGTTACCCTGGCATAACTGCAATTTTATCAAGATTGGAGATATATCGAATCTTATCCATTTTGGGGAGGAGGCTACGAGCATTTAAATGGATAAAGTTCAAACCTTTCTTTAATAGACATTCAAACGTTGGTGAATCCAAAGCACGAGGGGTCGCCTTCTCCGTTGTCTGCACATCTGATGATACCAGTGCGTTTAATAATGCCTCGAGGCTCCAGGCTCCTAGTTTCCCTGGTGTGCTTTTAGGAAGCTTACCGCTAGACGAGCTCCTCCGGTCTTGTTAAGGTGTATAGACCATCTGGTGCATACAGGTTACTTCTATTCATGAAGTACCTCCAGTTGTCGAGGTACGTTGCATTGTTTGCTGTGCAGAAGATCTCCAGTGTCCTGTTCAGCGACATTATCTTCTGGTTCAGGTGGTTACGGTTCGGCTTGAAGCACGGTAGCAGCTGTCTCGATATGATGAGTTTTCCCTTGGTTTTTTCACTTGCACTCCTTGCTAATTGCAGAAGACCTTGTCTAGTTTCTTCTAATTTCTTATTTAAAGCATCATTTACCCCAACATGCATAATTACTGTTCCCAGACTATCTTCCCGATTAACTACTCTGTCTAGCCATTTTTCTATATCATGTGCCTCAGCCCCTCCAAGGGTTAATACACACCTATCCCTTCTTACTCCATTGGTACATACTGTCTTTACTGTCTGTCTGACTATTGAGTCACCCAAAATTAATATTTTTTTACGTTGGTTTTTACTGCTGTCTTCATTCGTTGGATTCAGTGGCTGTGTTGTCCGGTCCTCCATCTCTCCAGTGGTCTCGTCGTCCCGGTTTATGGTGGTCCCGTCGTCCCGGTCCATGATGATCCCATTGCCCCGGTCCTTGGTGGTCCCGTCCTCCAGGTCCATGGGGTTCCCGTCCACCAGGTCCATGGCGGTGCCGTTTTCCAGGTCCATGGTGGTCCCGTCCACCAGGTTCATCGCGGTCCCGTCCTCCAGGTCCATTTTGGTCCTGTCCTCCAGCTCCTTGGTGGTCCCCTCCTCCAACTCGTTTGCAGTGAAATCCCCAGCTTCAGCTTCCTTGGCCGTGGACTCGACCAGCTCATCTAGTATGATGTAGCTTCCCTCTCGTTCCTCACGACTCCTCAATATCCAGACTTCCTTCTTCAGCATCTCGATCTCCTGAGTGAGAGCAGTCTTCTCGCTAGTCCACTGTCTCTGGAAATTACAGGCGTGACAATCATACACGAAATCTTCCGGCATGTCGTCTACATCACTGACATTTTCCCATATTTCCCACCGTTTACATTTACTGCATTAGGCCCACCTATTCCCGAATTTATCAGCCTTCTTAGTTACTTTTTTTTCTGCCCCATTGTGTTAGTGGAAGTCAAACTATTTCGAATTCTTAGATCTTAGTATAAAAATTAAAACTATGAAAAAGCTTTCCTACTTACAAATTTATTCCCGCCAAAACAACAATCGTTACAATGGCCGCCCCCTTTCGAATTTTCTCTGAACTAATCTAATGTGATATTTAAATTATTAGGTTAAAAATGTACTTCCCGTTTGTGCAAGGTATTTCTTAGAGGTCTTGACTTTGTTAGTGGTCAAATTCTGGAGTTGTTCACAGAATAAATCACTTGAAGAAACCCCAGTAGCCTTAGTCCCGCGGAGACTAAAGTAAACACGTCCGTTCACCTCGGCGGCGGTGGCCTGAGTGGATCCCATAATACTGTCGTACTGTGTCGCCAATCGAATTGCTTCATCTAGAGTCTTCGGACTCCGGAGAGTTATTTGCCGCCCTGCCTCCAAGCTAGGTAGGCCCTGTATGAACTGGTCCACCAGCAACACTGTTCGTGAAATTGGAGACATCTGTGGATAAGCTATACTTCCCAACTTAATTAATGCAGCACCGTATTGTGCTAGGGTTTCGTTCTTGTACATTATTCTATTTTTGAATTCCCGAATGTGTGAGTTCTCTCTCAGCTGGGTCAAAATGCCGCTTTAATGCTTCTACTATTGCCGGGGAACTGTTATCTGCTTCCATTGTAAAATCTCTCACTGCCTGTCTGGCTGGCCCACGAATACTCACCATTAGTTGTATGCTCTTTTCATACTCGTTCCAACCATTCAATACGCTGGTCGCTTCAAAGTGTCGTACGAAGTCATCCAAGTCTAAATTTTGACTGCCGTCAAATTTTTCCGGAGGAACGTATTGCCGGTATTTCCTCGCTTCTGCAAACCGGTATGTATCCCGTCGGGGTGGCGAGCATTCTCTGTCAACGACCGGTGGTCGAATCCCATAAGCCTCAGTTCTATATGCTCTCCTTTAGTTCAGACGTGGGTTTACTTTTGCTTGGTGAGTATGATGTCCAAAGTCTTCATACTCCGGTCTGCTCGTTGGTAGCAATGTATCCTGTGGGAAGACTCCAAGCGTTACTTGTTATTCTCTCCCAGTGAAAGTCAGATGATTATGGGGATCAGGGACTCCGCAGTGGTAGTGCTCCCCTTCCCAGTTTTCTTTTCTATTTTCGAGCATTCCTACAGCCATATCTCCAGATGGCGTAGCATGTTCCATGTGTTTACTCTCATTCTCAATGTCAGTTTCCTGTGGACTGATTTTTACTTTGTCGGCATGACTCAGGCTTAAGAGATGCTGTGGGAGTCGTTCGTCGGCTACTTCACTAGCCGGTGATAATGCGAGGCCACGGTCATCATGGTTCGTTCAGGCCTTTATCGATCAGTTATCCTTGCGAGCCCCGCGATCACGCGACTATCGGTTACCACGCAACTGACAACAACTTTCAGCACTTCCAGCACGTCAAGGCTGAGTCAGTGCGTCAAGCTTCATTCGTGCAGATATCTTGACTCATTGACGCAAATTACAGCATTTCCGTACATATACAGTGTTATCCAACCGCCAAAATCTGACTCCAACAGCCAAACACACACAGTTACTGAACAGATCGTTTGCTACAGTACGTACAATTACCACGTGAGAAACTAAGCTACCCTATACACAGAGCACTAGAGACGTTTCAATAAATACTATAATGCTAAATAAATAAGAGAATCTATTTACTAACCAAAATTGCTTATGTTCTATATCTCTTTCACTATTATTGCGACAGATTCCTGGTAAATTACCGTGCCAAAATCGCTCTATGTGGATACATCGCGTAAGCACTGATTTCCATCCCCTCAAACCGCCCTAGTCGCTCCGGTCTTGCATCCGGCCGCTTTGTCTGCTTCGGGCAAAATTTTTACATACCGCGGTGGTCGTAGCCGTGTTATGTCCGCAATTATATCAGCAAAATTTCTTTTTTATATTCTGATGTTATTTTAGGTTAGATTCATACCTCAAGAAATAAAAAATGATACTCTGATAGTAATGTAAGTAGTAGTATAAGTAGTTAGTAGATGGTATTAATTATTAATTAGATGGAATTAAGTAGTAATGGTAGTGTAAAGTAGTAATGGTAGTAGTAGTAATGGTAACTGATAATAATGGTAACTGATAGCTGGGCCTAAGGTAAGTGTACTGGGACCAATAGAATGAAGTTTACATAAATAATTTTAACACAGGTTAAGACAGGTTTTTCCTGTCTGTGTAGACAGGCCATAAGAGCCACTAAATATGGCCCCTTAATTCACACAGGTTCTAACTGAAACTGCACAGTACAATATGATAACACATAAACACGCATTGAAAAAAAATAGTGTTGAAGTGTAAGTTACATGTAAGAGAATCAGAAATCAACAAATTATTTCAGTTTGCTTGGTGTAACTAATGGATAATGGACTACGTACATTTCAATCTAATCTTACCTTTGTCGGGCAAGTCAAAATTATAGTTGGTATAACACTTAACAATTGAATCTCACACCCGTCCCCTCAAAAAAAAAAAAATATTGACTTAGCCCAGCCAAGTCCAAGAATTGGTTAGGCTGACATGATATTTACCAGCATGACAAAAGCACCACATGAGTGTCCATCTCTCTGTCTTGCTGACTTCAGATTGCCACGTGTCCACTGCACATGAGAAAGGTCACCAGTGAACTGAGCCCTGCTTTCCATGTACTGCCTGCACACACAAACACAAAAATGATAAAAATGTAATTTAAAGCTATTTAAAGTACAAGATGGTCATACTGGACTAATGGCATAACACTGGGGTATCTTCTTCATTCCGCAGCTTTTCGTCCGAACCACCAGCTAAACCTGTATTGAACTGGGGGAATACTCTATTGAAACTGGACGGACGGACGAACGTACGACGGACGACGACCCATGGCAATAGCTCAGCTTGACGATGTCAAGGTGAGCTAAAAACCTATAAGATTTTGTAAAAGTAACTTCAAACAGCAAAAATACTTTTATTGCGTTATTGAAGTTATTGAGAAAAGAAAACAATATCCGTGCATATGATTTGCATAAATTATAATAATAATGTATCTGGTTTTGTTAGAAAAGTAACAATGAAATCTTTTGATTTTTCTGATTTCTAAGTAAGGTGCATGCCAAGTTTGATAGCTATCGACTCGACTGAGCTGAGATCTGAAGGGGGGAGGGATATAAATTTCCTCCCCCTTCCATCATATGAAGCTCAAAATTGAGTTTATATGGATAGACAACCCTCAAAACTTCATTATGACCATCACCAGTGCCAATCTCTACTAGCATATTGTTTATAGCCATAAAGATAACTACTTCACCAAATTACTGATGATTGGTAAACGAAGAATATAATATTTTTACATTTTCTTTAGGCATATAAATAATTATTATGTGATACTCACGTGAATCGCTTAAACCAAAGGCATGCAGTCCTTTCATTAGGCAATGAGTCCAGAATGGAGACTGTGCCATCCATGACATTAGCAGCCAGCAACAGCCAATGGCTGCTACGAACATTTATTGGTAGAAGGATAAAGTCATACTTCTCCATTGGAACCTATGATAAAGAGGGAAGTAGGGGGGGGGGAGACAAGTCTATTCCATGTGTTGGTATCAAATTAATATGAAATAAAAGTGAACATTAATACAAGATAATCAGTGAAAGTTTGATCAAATTTATTTTAGACTACAGATATGGAAGTTATTGAATTTTGATGTTTCACAAATTCAGGAAAAAAATGGTATGAATGGTGACTCGACAGTTTCTATGTTTTACCCGAGATATTATTTAAAATATAGATTTTGTAGGCATGACATAATCACAAAACCTGTCCAAAATAGAATTGCCAGATATTTGGAATTATTGATTAAAATATATTCCAGGACAAAATAGGTTGTGACAGTGATGATAATATTGTGGTATGTGCTCTCAAAACAGAATTTTACACAATTTCTATTGTTGGTGAAACAAAGGACTATAAATCTGAAGCAAGGATTATTGGTATCACATATGTCATTCTTCAACTGTCCCCTGCCCTAGTCTTACATGAAAAACATGTATGAACCCATAATGTACATTCACACCTACAGCAATTTAAACACCAATAATAGTGATTTATAATTAACTACCAAGCACATACAGTTTGATCACATATAGGCAAGATACTTACTGATCTGAACCGAAAACGTGTCAAACATACTCCTCTCCCAGTGAACAGGAGCATATGATGGTATTGAGAAGATTCGGATATTTGATTCATTTGTCTCCTTCTTGAGTAGGGCCAGGTAAGAATTAATGATCTGAAAATATATTGTTATTTCAAAATAAGAGAATTCCATTTATATAAAATTGTACAAATCCTATTGCCTAATTTTACAGATGATGAATCACATTTGCAGACGACACCAAAATGTTACAGTATAGTATGCTTTATATAAAATATATTCTAAATTTAAAAACAGAACAGAAATGCAAAATTTGAATTAAACACGATTATATGTTCCACATTAAGGCTTTACTTTCAGACCATATTCACCCCCACCCCCACACACACAAATCTTCAATGCTACGCAATGCGAATGTATCCTGCGGCACGGCAGCAATTTTTGAGTCATCTTTTGTTCGAAGGAGGCACAAAGAACCTCCCTCTCCCTCTCCCCTTCAAACAAAACGTATGACGTAGACATCACCTCCAGTTCCCCAGACTATTTTCAACACTAGAAGCAGCATTACCAGAATCATGTGTGTGTGTGTAGATTAGAGTATAATGCACTTCTATACAAAAATTCAAAGAAATCCATCAAGAAATGTTGCCTCTGGCGCACACACAAAACAGCAAGCAAAATTTGACCTTTGACCCTAAAAAAGACGGACTACTGGGGGCAGCATCACCAACCACTAAAGATGCGTATATTTAACTATAATGGACCTCTATCAGAAATCTATAAGAGATTCACCAGTTTAAACCTCTCCCATAGCAGTAACAACTATATGCAATTTGAAACATGTGGGTCAAACGGTTCTGAGTTATCGTTGACCGTACGCAAATGCAGGCGCGTAGCCAGCGATTTTATTTTGGGGGGGGGGGGCGAACTGTAGTGAGCCACGTGAAGTGTGCGAATCAGGGCCGCGATTCATCAACGTGGCTGTAACGTCGATTGCGTACGCAAAGGTTCCTACGAAGTAACGTACGCAAGCCGAGGGGTGCGATTCATCAACGCATCGTAGGTTCCGTACGTACGGCAAAATTGTTGATGAATGCGCAGTGTTAAATCCCTACCGTCGTCGTAGGCAGCGTGCTTGTGGAGGGTGTGCCTAGCAAAGACAATTCACAACTGTGCGAACCAATAGGAAGATAGGACGCGAAACAGACGCCGCGCGTGTGATTCTAAAACCATATGCGCTCGTCTAGTTCGTCTCGTCTGTGCTACATGAGTGCTGGGGGAATGCTGATTCAGTGGTCCTCATTTTCGTTTGTATGATTGCGTTTCAACACTATGTAAAGCAGCTACACCACGTACACGCTGGCCGTGCGTGGCGTGCGTGTGTACGTACACGTGCGTGGGTGTGCGTGTAGCACGTACACGTTGGGGCGGCGGCGTGCATGTGGCACGTGTGGGCGTGTGTGTGGTGTGTGGCGAGCGTACACGTGCGTTGCAGTGCGTTACGTACCACAGGCGTTGCGTGCCGTGTGTAACGTACACGTGCGTGCGTGGGTTCGTGTGTGCGCTGCGTTAACGTACAGTGCGTGGCGTGCGTGTAACGTACACGGTGCGTGGCTTGTGTGGGCACGTACACACGTGCGTGACAGTGCGTTGTGCACGTACACGGCGTGCGTGCCAGTGCACGTGCGTGCGTGCGCGTGTGGTGTCACGTACACGTACGTGCGTGTGGCACGTACACGTGCGTGCGTGCGTGTGTACGTACACGGGCGTGCATACGTGTGCACGTAGCGACGGTGCGTGGCGCTGCTTGGTGCGTGTCACGTTACACGTGCGTGCGGGTGCGTGCGTGGCTACGTACACGTGCGGGCGTGCGTGTGTGCGTGCGTGCAGCGTACACGTGCAGTGCCGTGCGTGTCAGCGTCACACGCTGCGTGCGTGGCCGCGTGTGTACATACACGTGCGTGGCGTGGCGGCGTGCCGTAGCACCGGGTTGTGCGTGCGTGCATGTGCACGGCGCGTGTGTGCACGTACACGTGCGTGCGTGCGTGCGTGTGCACGTACACGTGCCGTGCGTGACGTGTGTGTACGGCCCGTACGATGCAGCGCGTGCTGTGTGCGTGCGTGCCGTGCGTGCGTGCGTTGCATGTGCACGTGCGTGCGTGTGCTGTGCACGTACACGTACGTGCGTGTGCACGTACACGTGCGTGCGTGCGTCGTGTGTAACGTAACCGGGCGTGCGTGTGCCGTCCGCAGCGTGCGTGCGTGCGTGTGTAGCGTACAGCGGGCGTGCGTGCGTGTGCACGTACACGTGGCGTGCGTGCGTGCGTGTGTACGTAACACGGCGTAGCGTGCGTGTGCACGTACACGTGCGTGTTGTTGCCGTGTGAAGTTGTCGTGCTGTGCAGCGTACACTGCGTGGCGTGTGGCACCGTGTCCGTCTCGTCGCGTGTGCACGTACACGTGCGTGCGTGTGGACGTACAAGTGCGTGCGTGTGCACGTAAACGTGTGTGTGCGTGTGCACGTACACAGTGTGTGCGTGTGCCACGTACACGGCTAACCTACGAACTCGGCTTATAAGCGAAAACGAATGCCACGCGCGCTAATGACAAAAGAAGCGTCAAACGGCGGTGCGTATGGAATTATTTATTCATTTTAGTGATTAGTAGTAATTTAATAATGTTTCTCAATATAAATAATGCAATGTCGTATGCTGGCAAACACCTGGCGGAAGATTTCGAGTGTTTAGCGGCACCTCGTCAGCTACAGTGTAGGAGTTACTGCAAAGGTTACCGTAAATTTTAGGCTTGATGATATCGCACACTAAAACGGCCTCCCCGCTTTGCGTACGCGAAATCGTACGCAAATTTACTAAATGCGTGTTGATGAATCGCTAACTAAGCAACGTTGATTGCGTACACAAAGATTTACGCAAAATATTTTGCGTACGCCAGCTTGATGATCTACCCCCAGGGCGGGAAAATCCGTACCAGGAGGGGGGGATGAACGGCGATAGCCATACATACTAGCACGATCGTAAGCAGCACAATAATTACGTCACACGCGCGCGATCGCGCACTGCACGAACATACATACACACACAGCACACACAGCCGCACACGCACACACACACAGCACACACACACACACACATCAACACCACGTAACATACATTTATACATGCATACATACATGCACGCACATGGCCAAATTGAACAACCGTACGTTTGGCACGTGCCGTAGCATGGCAAGTGCCTAGGGGTCTGGGGCATGCCCCCCATAAAATTTGAAAGGCCATTTAAGCGCATTTCTCTGCAATCTGAGGCATACTGTGGCAGCATATTCTCATGTCTGATGACCGAAATTGTAATGCTCCTTTTTCTTGCCGTTAAACACGTCCTCTTTACGTTTTTTCTCTCTCTGCTCTCTCTCTCTTTGGCCGGCGTTTTTTTTTTGGGGGGGGGGGGGGGGACCGCCCCCCCCCCCTGCTCGCGCCTGGCCAAATGTTGACGGACGGACGGACAGACGGACGACACCCCATGGCAATAGTTCATCTTGACGATGTCAAGGCAAGCTAAAAATGTTGGAATTTTTAAAAAATGATTTCATATTGGATATTGAACATCAACACTCACTATCCATAAAATTTGCTGGATTACCAGTGGAGAGAAAGTAAATACAAGTATATGCATCAGGATTTATCTATTATCTATTAAAACACTTACCTTATCATTTATCCATGCTGGAGCCTGGAGAGATTGGAAGTCCCTCAGCTCTATAGTGTTTCCCCGCAGATAGACCATCGGTGGTCACTACTTTGAGTTGCCAACGACCGTCCTTTCAGGTTTTCCTGTAATTCAGGAAGACTTCCATCTGTAATAAAGTAGACATGTGCAATGAAAATCATCTACATATTGTCTCTAATGATGATCATTTTAACAATGTGCAATCTTCAGAACTTTGTCTGCTTTATAGAAGGACTTCATTCACAAGTTTGAATGTAGACTGGTGCAATACCATGAATGGCTTTATGTTTTAAAAAAGAGTCTTGAATATTATCCTGTTCTTCAGATAACTCATGTTAGTCACAGAGTAATGCACTACAATGTGATTACAGAGGGTATTAAAACATTATTTAGTCAAGTTAGTGTGTTGCGCTGCACTATGCTTTGTATTGTCTAATTACATTGATTGTGAATGCTGTTTATTTACCTGGACAGGGCTGTACGTTTCCCAGTAGTACTAGATCGGGAGTCTCGGCAGGTTGCCTCGAGTCGCTCATGTCCATGGGCGACTCGGCCACTATTCGGTGAGACATTAAGAAATAAACTGTACATTGCAGATGCTACCTTGACAAGTGTGTGCTTGCACTGCATATGCTTTGTATTTGTCTAATTACATGAATTGTGAAGGCTGTTTATTTACTGGACAGGGCTGTACGTTTCCCAGTAGTACTAGACGGGAGTCTCTGCGCAAGGTTGCCTTCGAGTCGCCCTCATGCCATGTGCGGCTCGGCCACTATTCGTGCAGACATTAAGAAAAAACTGTACTATTGCAGCATGCCTCCTTTGACAAGTGTGTTCACTGCACTATGCTTTGTATTGTCTAATTACAGTTCGATCGTGAAGGCTGTTTATTACCTGGACAGCGGCTGTACGTTTCCGCAGTAGTACTAGATCGGTGTCTCGCAGGGGCCGTCGACTCGCGTCATGTCCAGATGGGCGACTCGGCCCCACTATCGGTGAGACATTAAGCCAATAACTCCTACATTTGGCGATGCTACCTCTTGCAAGTGTCTGTGCAGCGTCCACTAGGCTTTGGTATTGTCTAATTACATTGATTGTGATTGCTGTTTATTGTTACCGTGGACAGGGCTGTACGTTCCCAGTAGTGACTAGATCGGAGTCTCGCAGGTTGCTCGACGCTCGCTCATGTCCTAGTGCATGGGCGTACTTCGGCACTATTCGGTGGAGACATTAAGAAATATAACGCTTGTACATTGCAGGATGGCTACCTTTGACAAGTTGCTTGCCACTGCACTACTGCGTTGGTATTGTCTAATTACATTGATTGTGAATGCTGTTTATTTACCTGGACAGGGCTGTACGTTTTCCACTGGCTGAGTCCCTGGCTGTGCCGATGGCTGAGCTGCAGTCTCCCTCATGAGGAATGGCTTAATATGGACAATACTCGTGCCCTTCAGCACATGGCCTGTCGACTCGTTGCGGAGCACCACCTTCTGTCCGGACAGTTCAACTATCACATAACCAGAGAGCCAGTCTGGAGTCATGCGATCCCCTTTTCGACCACCTAGCTTCTTGGGATTGGCTTTCATGACTCTCTGTCCAACATGGAAAGTGTAAGTCTTGAAACCCTTCATCGTCTTCAGTCTATAGTACTTCTTTTGCTTTTCTTTTGCTTTCTCATTGTTCTCATTCACCTGCAAAATAAAGTGCAGCAAAATTTCACAAGCTTATAATACGTATATATATATACTACTTTATGCTCGTCTAATCTGAGTTTTCTTAAAAATAGGCTCTTTGTTCGATGTGAAGATGCCAACACGCCTGAAACTTGCCCTTAACTTATATGCAACTTGAATTTTAGTTTCAAGATTTAGAAAGTCCCAATTCACTCTCATGGTTAAGTTAAAGGCAAAAATCTATTAATTAGCAATGATAAGTAAGAAAGAATAATATTTTTGCTGTTTATTCTTTTTCAGATTTCCTCATGGTAGCACGAGAGTATAGGCTACTCACCACAGGTTGGGCACTGGCTTCTTTTTGGCCTCCGTGCTTTGACGTGAGTGTAACGTAGAGCAGCAATGGATAGGCAGCTAGCTACGTGTCATGTCTAGACATGCAGTTACACCAGAGTTTACTTATTATAGCTTAGGACGATTTAATATAGCCGAGGAGACGCGCTGAGGTCTATTAAATCTCAATCTGTTTTCAAGGGTGAACGGAGTTCGTAACTGTGAACGAATATTGTGAATCAAAGAGCTGTAACCAAAGATGAATAAACGAAAGAAATATACCGACACCCTTTGTTACATCATTGTGTCTGTCAGCGTGCATTCGTCGAACCGACCGCTATATATAGGGAGCTTTATATGGAGGTCCAGTGTTTAGCGGGTCTATGTACTGTCCACCTCTTACTCCGAAGGCTGCGAGTTCAAATCCTGGCCAGGTCAGTGAATTTTCTCAAGGGGTAAAAACCTGGCTCTCAACATTAGACTGTGAATCTCNTTTGCTTCGCCAAAATATGTGTTATTTGGTAAAATTGGAATAAATATTTTTTAAGGACCACAGAGTGGCAATAATGTGCATACTGGATGTCAACTAATATAGTAATATAAATATAGAACATTTGTGGGGGTTATTTGTCAAACTTTTGATATAATGACCAAAAATATGTTACATTTAGTGAAAAAGTGGCCGAAATCGCTTTGACTTCAAAATTCACATTGCACGTTTCTGTCAATATTTGACAAAGAAAAACTCCCAGAGTAACATATCACTCACCAAAAACTTCACAAGGGTCCACTGCATTGGAATATATCATTACTTTGTAATATGGTGGTTGTTTGTGGCACATATCTTGGCAAAGTTTAACCATACCCCCTAATGTTGATATTTGGGAATAAAACTTAGATTTTGAACATTTTAGGTTTATTCGTCTACTTTAGTTATCTCAGTGTAATTTTGGGTGTAACTATTTAATATTACAAAACAGTCAACAGAAATTTGACAGACTTCTGGCCCCAAATACACGGAGTTAGTCATCACCTGGAACGAATTTTGTAGACTATCTTCGCCATGAAAACGGAAAAATATCAGCCTTTTGGATGTCTTATGTGGACACAGTTGAAAGCGTCTTGCTTGCCCTGCTGCGTGCTGCTCGAGAAGGAAATTGGGTCTTGCATCTCTTTGCTATCCACAACATGATCCTCTGGTGTTTTGCATACGACAGATTTAACTATGCACGATACCTACCAGCGTATTATGCTGAGATGACCAATCTGGCAGCCAATCATCCAGCTGTGTACCAAGCTTTCTTGAGTGGTTCGTTCTCTGTTCAACTATCCTGTCACAATACATTTAGACGCATTCCCGTTGACCAAACGACTGAAGTCACTGTGAACAAGGACACACAGACTCCAGGAGGCACAAAAATGTTTAGCCTGAAATCAGGAGCAGTCAAGCGCTATTACATTACTGCAGCACACTGGAGTGCCTTTCTTGGTCAGATGAGAGAAATGGTACATGAAGACGGATCAAATGTTCCACATGCTGACCTGCACAAGACGCGTGTGAGAAAAGATGAGGATGCTGTTTCGACAATCGTACATCTGGTGAAGAGCTGGGTAAATCCATTTGAAGAAGCCCACAAACTTATCTGTATCTCGACAGCAAAAAAAGCCCCCAAAGATATCTGCTCGGATTTGAAGAACGCCAGAGACATTGGAGTTCAATGCTACACAGACTTCAAAGCTGAGAGACTCGAGACAGACGCACCAACCAAACGCTTTCATGATCCCATGAAAATGAACAAACTAAAGACCTTCAGCAATTTATGCAAGAAGAAAAAAGTCCAGATGAATGGCAGATCCGTGATTCTTCAAGGTGACAGAGCATTGTTTGGTCGCATCATTGTGATGGCACAGGGACGAAATATGCAAATGGCTGATGTACTATCCCATCCTCTTGGTTCGTTACCATGGGCACTGGCAACCCCAGAAGGTCTTCACCGTAAAACCAACAAGGCTGCTCTTGCTAGTTACCTATAAACGAATGTAGCCCCAGCTGACAAACTTCCTGATCATTCTGCAACCATAATAGATGGAATGAGCATAATCCAGAAGGTGAAAGGGGATCAAGTCAACTTGGGAGAATTGTCCAGTTTGTTTTGTCACAGCACTAGTGACAGGATCGACATCGTCTTCGACACCTACAAAGATACATCCATCAAGAACTGTGAAAGGCTCGCCAGAGGAGAGGAACTTGGCCTGAAGCTTCAGAACATCACAGCATCGCAAATTGTAAGGCAATGGAGAAGCTTCTTGGCCCATGTTGGGAATAAGTCTAGCCTCATTTCATTTCTGGTGAGCGAATGGAGGAAACCAGATTACACCAAGCATCTGAATGGAAAGGTCTTATTTGTAACAACTGAAGACACAAAATCACCACGGAAGGACACCAGGAGGTGCTTGAGCTTCAAAGTACACACGAGGAAGCAGATGGTCGACTCTTACTTCACGCTGCTCATGCTGCACAGACTGGATATCCAGCAGTTGTAATCAGCTCCGATGACACCGACGTATTCATCATGGGGTTGTCATTTCATACTCAAATTTAATCAACGTTGTTCCAGAAATGTTGCACCAAAGAACGGAAACGAATCATAGACATTACCAAAATTGCAGCTTCAGTGGGTGCAGATGTTTGTCATGGACTTATAGGGATGAGTGCTTACACAGGTTGCAACACTGTCAGCACATTTGCAGGCAAAGGCAAACTAGGAGCGCTTAAAATGCTTAGGTCTAGCAAAGAGGTCCAAGAAACGTTCGCCGAGTTGGGACAAGAATGGAATGTGGCCGATGAGCTTATGGATAAGCTGGAGAATATCACATGCCTCCTATATGCATCCAAGTCTGGTACAAAGGAACTTAATAGCCTTCGATACCATCTATTCTGTGCGAAGAAAGGGGAGATTGAGAGCCACCAATTGCCTCCATGCAATGACTGCTTCCGATAACTGCTTGCAATTATTAGGCAGCATTTTGGAAACGAAGCCTTCAGAGGCACCCAATGACCCCCAGCCCAGTTGGAAAGGGATGGAAATGGGATGATCAGGATGAAACAACTCTGGCTGTAGACTGGATGAGTGGACAGCCAGCACCTCAGGCTCTTCTGGATTTGTTGGCCTGTAATTGTTCCAGGAGCTGCAAGCTATCAAATTGTGCATGCCTTGCCAGTGGACTGAAATGTACAGACGTGTGTAAACTTGCTGTCTGCGACAATCAGTCATTGTCTGACGGGTCAGATGACGACAGCCTCGACGAAGATGATTCAGATGACGAGGAGCAAGAATATGGATTCTGAGCAAAATATGCTGCACATCTAAAGGGACACTTTTGTGATGTTTTGTCAGACGTAAGCATCAGTTAGTACGTGTTTAATTTCAATGCCTGTAATCTGTGTCAATTGTGTTAAAAATTAACTGGTAATAAAAATGTATAATATAACAAGGCATGTTAAAAATTGACTGGGTAATAACAATGTATAATATAACAAGGCGTATTTAATCAGGAGATCATTTAATGATAACATAATTATGATAAACCTAGTGTGGAGCAATTTTGCATGTATTGTGAAATGTAATGTACCTGATGTTACATACCTACCATGAGATACTAGCTAATTCCAAAAATTAAACCTAAAACCTAAAATGTTCAAAATCTAAGTTTTGTTCCCAAATATCAACATTAGGGGGGTATGGTTGAACTTTGCCAAGATATGTGCCACAAACAACCACCATATTACAAAGTAATAATATATTTCAATGCAGTGGATCCTTGTGAAGTTTTTGATGGGCCATATGTTACTCTGGGAGTTTTCCCTTGTGAAATATTGACAGAAACGTGCAATGTGAATTTGGAAGTCAAAGCGATTTCGGCCACTTTTTCACTAAATGTAACATATTTTTGGTCATTATATCAAAAGTTTGACAAATAACCCCCACAAATGTTCTATATTGCTATTACTATATTAGTTGGCATCCAGTAGGCAAATTATTGGCACTCTGTGGTCCTTAAAAAAATATTTATTCCAATTTTACCAAATATCACATATTTTGGCGAAGCGAAGAGGGGGTATAATACTATTTCGGGTGATAACACAGAGATGGCCGAGAGTTATACACTGCTATCACATTTTTTTCATATCTAGGGATATATATCTTGCTAAAAATCACAATGAGCCTTACTCCATCTGTATGGTACCGACCGGTCAATTTGGGGGGGTCTGGCTCATAGCCTATATTACCTATAGATCCCAGCAATGTTAGCTTCGTAACATTTCCAAAAATTTCCTTTTTTCGACTCCAGGTTACGCCACATGCTCGTTGTCGGTGTCGAACTGTACATTCCACAGGTCCCATAAATGGAGCTGG